CTCTTGGGGACTTCTTGGCGCTTCCTGGGGGCCTCTCAGGCCGCGAGGGCTCGAAATGTCCGTTCGTGTCCCCCGTCTGGGCACCCTCTTGGCGCCGTTTTGGGGGCCTCTTGTGCCGTCTTGGAGGCCTGTTACGCCGTCTTGGGGCCCCCCTGGGCTGTTTTTGGGCCCTTGTGGAGGCATCTTGGGCTATCTTGGGGCGATCTGGGGGTCCTCTTGGGTCGTCTTGGAGTGTCGGGAAGCCGAAACGGCGAAAACGTCCAAATCTATCAAACACCATAGGGAAGTCAATGTTTTTGACTCTTGGGGCCACCTTGGGAGTGCTCTTGGAGGTCTCTTGGAGCGTCTTGGAAACCTCGTGGTCCGTCTGGATGCTACTGTGGCGTCTTGGACAGATTTTTCGTCGATTCGGGGCTCTATTCGACCGTCTGGGGGGCCTCTTGGGGCTATCTTGGTTCGTCTCGGGGTGTCTTGGGTTTTGAACACCCTCAGGGGGAGGTGGCATTCTGACCCGAGACTTGTCCCGGGTTCCCCCCACGGACGCCCCCAGGGACCCCTCCATGGACCCTCCTTGGACCCCTCCCGGGACCCGCCCTCCTGGGACCCTTTCCGGGACCCTCTCCTGGACCCCCCCCTACCAGTGGGGAAGGGATCAAAGGATCAAAGGGACGGGGCTTTCATTCGACGACGTTGCTGCTTCATTTCGCTTTGGCTAGCGCGCTTCAGGATGAGGGCCCAGGGACGGGAGGGAGCGGCGATGGCGACGGCGACGATGACGACTAACGGAAGAGCGTCTTCCACATGCCGACAGGGCAAGCTGAGCAGGAGGAGGAGGAGGAGGAGGAGGAGGAGGAGGAGGAGGAGGAGCAGGAGGAGGAGGAGGAGGAGGAGGAGGAGGATGAGGAGGAGGAGGAGGAGGGAGAAGGAGGATAACGAGGACGAGGAGGAGTTTGGCAGCGCTTGCGCTCCTTTGGCCAGAGTGCCTCTGGCGGCCCTTCGAGACGATTCGCGCCCCCGAGCGCTGTGGCCGAGGCAGAGGCCACGGAACTCCACAGCCGTCCGCCGAGCAGGGCACCCCGTCACGAGGCCAAGTTTCCCCTGCACGCCGCGGGGCACCCCGTCGCGAGGCCAAGTTTCCCCTGCACGCAGCGGAAGGACGAGGACGACGACGACGACGACTCTGCACGACGACGATGACGACGACGACGACCCCGTCGGCGACGACGACGCTTACGCCGACGACGCCGACGACGACGACGAGGAGGTGACGCCGACCCTGCACGGCGACGACGACGACGACGAAGACGAAGAGTCCTGCACGCCGCGGAAAGACGAGGACTCGCGGGCGGGGAGAGGCCGCGCTCCGCCTCCAGTCGGTGTGCCCGTGGGGCGAGGAGGTGCAGACACGTGCGCAGGCGCGTGGACCAGCGACGGGTCCCGCGTCCGAGCAGACCCGGCGCGCTCCGTCGCCAGATCCGGCGGCGCTGGCGCCTCGTTTCGGGGGCTGCGTCCGCGATCTGCGGATCTGGCGCCAGCGCGCCAGGTCCACATGTCCGTGATCCATGTTGGGGGCGTAGCACCACGGTCTGGGTACGTTTGCCGTGTCCCTGCCGGGGCGTCGAGAGGACGACACGACGAGGAGAGGAGTTCGAGGAGGACGCACATTCCCCGTGCCGCCCAGGCGAGAAGCGGTTCGAGATCAAGAAGTGGAGCGCGGTGGCCCTGGGATGCGTCCCGAACCGCACGATTCTGGCAGCCTGGCACTGTCTGTCTTCAGAGGTTTCTGTTGCCCTGTTGATTTCGCTCGAAGTCTTCGTGACTCTCACAAGTGTGCTCGTCGTAAACATTATTGTTAGTATCATCAATATGTCCCTACATAATTCGGATTGTTGTCGTTGCTACGACTCCTCCTCGCTGCCATAGGAGTGGGAAGGGTCAGCAGGGGGAGTTGGTGGAGGAGGGTGGGGGAAGAGGGGAGGGGAGGGGAGGGGAGGGGGAGGAGGATGGGCAGGAGCAGGAGCAGGAGCAGGAGGAGGAGGATGAGGAGGAGAAGGAGGATCGTCATCAGGAGAAGGAGGGGCATGATGATGCTGATGATGAGGAGGAGGAGAAGGAGGAGGAAGCGAAACATGAGAACGAGCACGAGGAGGGAGGATGAGGAGAAGGAAGATCCAGATGCGGAGGAGAAGGAGGAGGATATGGAGGACATGGAGAAGGAGGAGGAGGATGTAATGAGGATGAGTATGGGAGGGGGGGAGTGAGACCATGATGATGACGATGATGATGCTGATGATGAGGATTGATATTCGGATGAGGATGCTGTTGATGATGTGATGCTGCTGATGCTGATGATGCTGCTGACGATGATGCTGATGATGCTGATAATGATGACGAGGATGATGCAGCTGCTGCTGCTGATGATGATGATGCTGATGATGCTGAGTATGCTGACGATGCTGATGATGACGACGATGATTATGCTGCTGATGATGATGATGATTCTGACGATCATGATACTGACACTGGTGAGGCTGACGATGCTCATGATGATGCTGTTGATCATGAGTTGATGCTGTTGTAGATGATGGTGTTGATGATGATGGTGATGATGATGATGATGATGATGATGCTGATGATGATGATGATGATGATGGTGATGATGATGGTGTTGATGATGATGATGATGATGCTGATGATGATGGTGGTGGTGGTGGTGCTGATGATACAGATGGTGGTGATCATGCTGATTGTGAAGGCGGTGGTGAGGTGTTGATGATGATGACCAGGAGGAGGAGAAGGAGGACTAACGGAGGGTGAGGAACTTGAGGAGGAGGAGGAGAAGGAGAAGGACGACAAGAAGAATAAGGAGAGGCCAATGAGAAGAAAGTTGAGGAGTGAGGAAGGCGTAGGGGCGGGGAGAATGGGAAGGTCCAGCGTAAACCCAGCGTGTTTCAATGATGCTGCAACGTATCCTCCCGTCCCAACCGCATATAAGTTCGTACAAGCCCTCCTTTTCACTAGAGGGACGTCCCCTTGAAAGACGATCATCCTGCGAGCCTGCCACTCGGGCGAGGGCTCCATTTTGGAACAACTGTCTTGCGTCCTCTTCACGCTTGTGAGTATTAATCAGGAGTTCAACGAGGTGTGGCGCGACAGCTCCGTTTCGAGACGGAGCCGCCCCCCCGCCAGAGTAACCGATGCACATGACGTTTGCACGTTTGGCCATCAGGAAAGCTCCAGTTCGAGAAGGATCCGCCCTCCATTTGTGCAGCTGTTGGCCCTGTCCAGGATGCTTGTAGCCAACTCCTGAGGAAGCCTGAAGCGGGAGCCCTATTCTGTAGTTGTTCCACACCTCGACATTCGTGGTCACATTTCTGGAGGAAGTCTTCGACGACAGGCACATGTTGAAAGCTAGCGAGCCTCTTTGCGTGCAAGTGCTGCAAGCTTTTGAACGAACGTGCGTGGCGCTAAGACGATTTCCCAGCTTGGAAATTGACATGCCTCCAGCCGTGCCGCTTTTGGACAGTTCGCAGCTTCATGATTGTATGTTTAGGGAATCGTGTCAGGCGAAACGTTCGGGCTGCCCTGTGGACATGTGCGTTGGTGCGACAGGGGGGAGGTGTGTCCAAGGAAGAGGGATGGAGTGGCTGGAGGACGAGGAGGGAAAGGGAGGAGGAGGAGGAGGAGGAGGAGGAGGAGGAGGAGGAGGAGGAGGAGGAGGAGGAGTGGGGTGCGAGCAGGAGCCTAAAGAGGAGGAGGAGGAGAAGGAGAAGGAGGGGGAAGGAAGAGCAGGTGGAGGAGGAGGATGACGAATGTAAACCTGAGACTCATCAACGATGTTGCGCGAAACCCTCCCTCCAAGCTCCCTTCGATAGGCCCCCACAAAGTTTCATTTTCACTGAATGATGTGCCCCGTTGGAAAACAACCGTTTGAAAATCCTGGACCTGTCATGAACACCTCTTCTGGGACTTCAACACCTCGAATCCCTGCCACTGTTGCGTCTTGACGATCCTACATCGTACTAGGACTCCATTCTTAGGATTTCAGAAACACGAACCCACGTGATGGATGCGCCCTTACAGTGCCGCATCGTGCCAAAATACCACTTGTGGTACCTTACACGCCAGTCGTTGACAGCCAGCATATTAGATTTCCCATTTACCATTCTTTTGCAAGTGTCTCCCTACTCCAAGAGTCGATGTGCTTGTGATATGTTCTGTTATTCCCTGGAACCCAATCCACTTTATCCGCCTTCCTACTCGTAGGCGAGAGCCGCATGTTGAAACGGAGCCACTCTCCTTCGGTGAACGTGATGCAGTTTTTTTTATGACGAGTGTGCGCAGCCATGGGGCGAGGGCCACACTTTGAATACCACCCGGTTTCCGTCCGCGAACCTTGGCAAATTAGTTGAAGCAAATGTGCGCGGCGCTGGGTCGCGGGCCACACGTTGAAAACTACCCGCCCTCCAGCCGTGAAGCTGTCGCAAATCTCAAGCCTCAGGATCATACGTGGTCAGGGAGTCGCAGGCGAAACGCCCAGCCCGCACTCCGACTCGCTTCAGGATGCGACAGGGAAGAGTTATGCTTCAGGTAAAGAAGCGGAGGAGGAGGAGGAGGAGGAGGAGGAGGAGGAGGAGGAGGAGAAGAGGAAGAGGAGGCGATTCGGCGCGCCCCGGCGGCAACCCTGCTGTCTTGCTGCGGCGCGCCAGGTTGCGCGCTGGACGCTTTGCCTCCCTTGTTTGTTTAACACCCCACTGGCCAGACGCGCGGCCGCAGGAGGAGGCGGAGGAGGAGGAGGAGGAGGAGAAGGAGGAGGACAAGGGGGGAAGGGGGAGGAGGAGGAGGAGGAGGAGGAGGAGGAGGAAGAGGAAAAGGAGGAGGAACATCAGGAGGAGGAGGAGGAGGAGAAGGAGGAGGAGGAGGAGGAGGAGGAGGAGGAAGAGCAGGAACAGGAGCATGTGCAGGAGGACGAGGAGGAGGAGGGGGAGGAGGAGGAGGAAAAGGAGGACGCGCTTTCGGATTCCCGCCGCGCCTGCCCCCGCGCGCCCCGCAGCTGTCTGCGTCCCGTCCGCTCGAGTGGCGCGGCCGCCCCTCTATTCCTTCCTCCTACTGCTCTCTCGTCCCTCCTCCCTCCTTCCTCCTCCCACCCTCCCTCCTCCCTCCCTCCCTCTCTCCCTCTTCCCTGCTCCCTCCCTCTCTCCCTTTCTCTCTCCTCTCCCCATCCTCCTCCCCGTTCCTCTTCTTCCTGTCTCCCTCCGTCCTTTGCTCCTCCTCGTCCCTTCTTCTCCTTCATCTCCTGCTCCTCCTCCTTTCTCCTTCTTCCTCCTTCTTCCTTCTTGGGAGGGTCCTCCGTGGCTACTCGGGGCTGTCTTGGGTATATGTTGGGGTCTCTTTTGGTCATACAGGTGGCCATCTTGAGCCATCTTGGGACACACGCACACATACACACGCACACACACATTCTAGAAGTGTATATACACATGTACGTATATGACTGTATAGGTATACGTATGCACATAGATGTACACATAAAAAATATACCCAAAGTGGCCAAGGATGGAAGCCGAAACGGTGTTGGATCAGACCAGGCGGGGCCCGTCGCATGAAGTGACATCCGCCTGTCAATGTTTCGGAAGAACGTTTCGTCTGTATTGCGCGGTGCACGTTCGCAATGCGACTCTGGGAACGAAGTCGCAAGGCAGAACGTGGAACCGCCCACGCCAGCGGCCCTGTCAATAACCAACTTCGAAGAGCACCCGGGCATTAAGTGGCGTCCGCCTCCCAATGCCGCCACCGGGCGCGCAAGCCAAAGCATGGCATATCAATAACCTGACCCATGGTGCACGCCTGCGCACGCTGCCAACGTTGAAGGCGTATTTCACTTAATGATCCTCTTTGGGCGTTGCCGTCTGCAGATCATTCAAGACAGTCGTCTTGTTGATTTTGTTATAACTTTTTCTCTAGCTGTGTGGACGTCGAACCTGTTTGGGTGTGTCCCAACCGTTTTGGCGGCAATTGCCCGATAGCGTCGGCAACCTCTGCCGTTCGGGCAGATGGAATGGGAATCGCGCGATCCTTGGTGAACGCGTTGGTACCCGGACGGCTGCCGTGCTCTGTCGTGGCTCCCGTGGGAGGGTAAGGGGGGGAACGCGAGGGAAAAAAACGTGACGATGCGAAGGAGGATGAGAACGAGGAGGGGGAGGGGCAAGACGATTAAAATGAGGCGACGAGTGAGGACGCTGATGATGCTTCGGCAGAACGGCGATGCGGCGAGAACGCATGTTGTCTTCGTCGTGGTCGCCGTGGTCGCTGTGGCCCCCGTCGTTGTCGTAGTCGTCGTCGTCGTCGTCGTCGTCGTCGTCGTCGCTGTCGTCGTGGTTGCCATCGTCGTCGTCCTCGTCGACGTCGCCGTGGTCGTCGTCGTCGTCGTCGTCGTCGTCGTCGTCCGCCGTTCTTGGCAATAACGGCTGCGCCTGGGGCCAAGAAGCCGCCCGTCGTTGTCGCACGCAACTGCTTATTGGGCGGGAGTGGGCTCACTGTGGAAATCCGCTCATGGCGGCAATTTTTTTGATGTCTGGCGAAACTACTTAACGATTGGATGCGGGCGGCGCAGGTTCACTGTGTAAATTCATATACGGGGCGCGCGTTCTGTTGCCCAGGGACCCCACTAGACCATCCTGCTGTGGCAAGTTAAGTGTGTAAAATCTCACACACGGGACAGACTTCGCGTAACAGTGGCGCGCCCCGGCGGGCGGGAAACATCCATTGTAACATGGAGATGTTAGAATACAATCTATGTATATGTATTTGTATGTGTATGTGTATTTGTACTTGTATTTGTGCTTGTATTTGTATTTGTATTTGTATCTGTATGTATGTATGTATTTAGGTACGTATGGCTGTCTGTCTGTATGTTTGTGCGTGTGTGTAGATATATATATATATATATATATATATATGTCCGTGTTCCATTTTTCGATGGATGCTCCCCGTCCCATTTTTCACGCATCGAACGCGGAACAACCAAATCGTAAAGTGGACACGCAGGGGCACGCCACTTGAGCGAAGTGCGTTCTGTGTTTTTAATTTACACAGTAACCCCGCACCCGCCCGATCGTTAAGTGGGATTGTTGGGCAACCTAAACTGCGTCCCGTGTGTGAATTTACACAATAGAAGCCACCGCCCCCCCCCCCCGGATCGTCAACGCGGTTTGTTGGGCAACGCCCTGCAGGTCCCATTGGTGTCGTCAGCCCCGCAGGTTCCCCCAGGCCTCACAGGTCGCACGAGTCCCACTGACCCCACAGGTCTCGCAGGTCCCGCGGGTCTTGCAGGTCCCACAGGTCCCACGCGTCCTGCAGGTCCCGCAGGTCCCGTAGGCCCCACGGCTCCCACAAGCCCGGCAGGTCCCGCAGGTCCCGCAAGTCCTAACAAGGCCGGCGTTTCGCACAGGCCCCGCAAGTCTTACAGGCCCTGCAACTCCCAGAAGTGTCGCAGGTCGCGCAGGTCGCACAGGTCCCGCAAGACCCGCCGATCCCGCAAGTCGCCCACGTCCCGCGTGTCTCGCAGGTCCCACAAGTCGCACAAGTCCCACAGGGGCACACATCTCACGCGTCCCACAGGACCCACAAGGTGGCACCATAATAGACGAGAGGGAATCGCTCGGAAACGCAATATTTGAGCAGACGTACCCTTCTCCGTGGAACAAAAATTATACCAAAAGTGGCACAAATATGGAAACCGAAACAATGTTGAATCACACCAGGTGGGGCCCGTCGCATGAAGTGACATCCGCCTGTCGATGTTACGGAAGAACGTTTCGTCTGCATTGCGCGGTGAACGCTGGCCATTTGAGTGTGGAAACGAAGTCGCACGGCAGAACGTGGAACCGCCCGCGCCAGCGGCCTCGTGAATAATCATTTTCGAAAGGCGCCCGGTCATTCAGTGGCGTCCGCCTCCCAATGCCGCCACCGGGCGCGCAAGCCAAAGCATGGCATGTCAAAGGCCTGGCCCATGGTGCACGCCTGCGCACGCTGCCAACATTGAAAGGCGAATGTCACTTAATGATCCTCTTTGGGCGTTGCCGTCTGCAGATGTTTCCAGACTATCGTCTTGTTATTATTGTTAATTTTTCCCGGCAGTGTAGTTGCCTTCGGCCCATCCCGCCACCGTGCTTGGGTTGTGGGTTAAAGGCCTCTTGGATGTTCGTTCGTATATCTTGGGGGGCCCCTCTGGGGCTTCTGGGAGGCAGTTTTGAAGCCTTTTGGAGGCCGTCTGGGGGCTTCTTGGGGCAGCTCCACTTCATTTCGGTACACCCCTTCCACGTGTTGTGGCCCCGTGGGTAGCTCCAACAAGGGCCCATGTAGTGTCGTACGCATGCCCACCTACTGCCCAAGCGGTGGCTTTTGCATGCGTCGGGTCACGAAGGGTGTGCGGGATGTGAATAAACTTTGGCGGGGACGCATGCGAACGGCACAATTGCGGCCTGGGTGGAGCTCCCAATAGGGCTTCGAAACCGGGTGTGCCGAAATCGGTGGTGCCGAAAATCGGTGGTGGGGCCGCATGCGAACGGCACCACTTGGGCCTCAGACTGGGTTCCCTATGAGGCCACCCACCGTGTGAGGGGTGTGTCGGCGTTTGGGTGGTGGGGGCGCATACGATCGGCACCATTCGGGCCTTTGGTGTAACTCTCTATGGGGCCACGAAACGTTTATGGGTTGTGCCGACATGGGTGGCGGGGGCGCATGCGAACGACACCACCTGGGCCTCAGGGGGGTCTCCCCATAGGGCCACGAACCGTGTGAGGGGTGTGCCGAAAAATGTGGCGGGGACGCGTCCGAACGGCACCACGTTGGCCTTATGTAGGTGGAGCTCCCTATGGGGCCACGAAGCGTGTGAGGGTGTGTGCCGAAAAAAAGGGGTGACGGGGATGCATGCGAACGGCACCACTGCGGTCGTGGGTGGAACCTCCGACGGGGCTACGACACGTTTGCTGACATGGGTGGCGGGGGCGCGTGCGAACGACACCATTGCGGCTTTGGGTGGGGACCCCAACGGGGCCACAGAGCGTGTGAGGAGTGTGCCGAAATAGATAGCGGGGACGCATGCGAATGACACCGGTGCGGCCATGGGTGGAGTTCCCTATGGGGCCACGAAAGCCGACATGGGTGGCGGGGACGTGTGCGAGCAACACCATTGGGGCCTTGTGTAGAGGGCGGAGCTCCCTATGGGGCCACGAACCGTGTGAGGGGTGTGCCGAAATGTGTGGTGGAGACGCATGCGAACGGCACCACGTTGGCCCTAGTTTCAGGTTCCCATGGGGCCACGAAGCGTGGAAAAAAGTGTGTGTCGAAATACGTGGCGGGGGCGCATGCGAATGGCACCAGTGCGGCCTTAGGTGGAGCTTCCACTGGGGCCACGAAGCGCGCTTGAGGTGTGCCGAAATGGGGTTGGTGGACGAATGTATTGATGGTGACGATTCTGAGGACGATGGCGTTGGTGATAACGATGACCATGATGATGCTACTGGTAATGACAGCACGCGGAGAGCAGAGGCAGGAATTGAAGGAAGGAAAACGGCGGAGATGGCAGGAGAGAGGAGGGGGACGAGGTGTGAGGGGTGTCTGCGGGGCGCTGTCTCTTCAAAACGAGGACCCAACACCACAGGATGGTTGGGAAAAACGTCAGGGAGGGGAGGGGGAGGGACCCCCTCCCCGAAGGGAGCAGGGTTTTGGAAGAGGAAAAGCTGTCCTTTTGGATCACCTTCGCCCCAACAGCTGGTGGGATTATCAGGCACCGGCGATGACCCCCCCGAAGTGGGAAAAGGGGGTTGGAATAGGGAACGTGCTAAGCCACCTACGCCCTAAAGGGCTTTGTGGGATTCCGAGTCGATTCAATTCGGTTTGGAGAAGGCATCGGCGGGGGCCAGCTGGAGCCAGGTTCGGCGATCCGATTTCGATCTGATTCGGGACGTTTTCGCTGGCGATCAGAGTCGCTTCCCATCCGATCCGATTCCGCGGTTCGATCAAGCTCCGGCCTGCCGCACACACGGCACAAGTAGGAACTTCATCGCAAGTTTCAGGGGTAACGTTAGGGGGGGATCGGTTCGGGGGGATGGATCGATGCTCGATCGCGCATCGATCGCCTAGAGGGTCTTGCTAGCCTGTCCCGCCCAAGCCCTCGTGGTTTCGCCCTCGGGGGCCTGTCGCCGATCTGTCGGCGATGCATCGCCGATTCCCCCTCGATGTCCCCCCCCCTGAGCCTGCCCCCCCCCCCCGAGCTGTTCTTCGGGCCAGAGCTCGGCCCTCCGGCGGCCCGCCGGGACGCTGCGGGCCCCCCAGAGCGCTGGAAGGCGAGGCGCACCTGCTGGAAGGCAGCCCGAGGCCAGAGAACCCCCCGGGAACCGGCGAGAACGTCCGAGAGCCTCGGACTTCGAGCCGGAGAAAGTCGCCCCCCTGTAGCGCCCCCCTAACGTTCCCCCGCGCAGTCAACCCCGGCGGAGGCGGAGGCGGATGCGGAGGAGGATCAGGAGGAGGAAGCGGAGGAGGAGGCGGAGGAGGATCAGGAGGAGGAGGAAGAGGAGGAGGAGAGGAGGAGGGGGAGGAGGATGAATAGGAGGAGGAGGAGGAGGAGGAGGAGGAGGAGGAGGAGGAGGAGGAGGAGGAGGAGGAGGAAGAGGACACGTCGGGTAGCGCACGTCGCTGAGCGTAGGAGGACAATCCCAGCTGCTTCGTCGCGTTTCCTTTTGCTGTTGGGCCTGCCCTGGCGGGCGCGCCGCGCGGGCATGGCGGCGGGAGCACCGCGCCCTGCGGTGGCGGCGCGGCGACGGCGATGCCCCTCCTTCTCCTCATCCTCCTCCTCCTCCTCTTCTTCCTCCTCCTTCAGGGGCAACGATATGGGGGGATAGGCGTAGGGAGGTATGCAGCGACCCCCAATTGCCCATTGATCGCCAGCAGGGGCCCGATAGCGGGCAAAACACGCAGGAAGTAGGAGAAAGTGAGAGGAGGGGAAGACCAACGCCACTGATTCATCCCGCCGCGGCCATCCCACGCACCTCGGGAGATGGAGAGCGATGGTGGCCACCACAAATTGGCCTACTGGACAGCCAGCCGGACAGCTCCAGGACGAGGCCACATGGGCCTGCCGGGCCTACCATCGCTCCAGTGAGCGCGAGCAACATCAGGCCACAGATACGTGCCCACTCCAGGGGCTGACAATGCAGTGATGGAGGACCTAATCACTAACCCAGGCGCTTGCCGAGCTACACGATACACGGCATCCGTCTCAGCAGATTTTGTCGTAACGCTCCTCCTCCACTGATCCCCAACCTCCTTCTTCTCAGAAACCTTCCATAAACTCCCACACATTGCTGAACGAAATCGTGGCCTAGCACGCTCGAGAGACCCCATGGCCAAGTGAAGCCCCTTTCTGGCAAGCATCCTGCTGCTCGCTGGAGCTTTCCTCGACACACTCTGTCATTTGCTTGCCGCCAGTGTCTGCGACCTCTTTGGGGCCTACCGTCAGTGTCGCGAGCGCCACCCCCGTTGCCTCCTTTTCCATCTCTTTTTTCTGTGCCTCGGTCGCCACGGATGACCATGACAGTGGGACACGCGGCGCCGAAGCTGCTGGGAACGAGAGGCAGGCAGCGCAGGTGGATCGGGAAGACGTCTGGCGCCCGTGCCGTCGTGGTACTTGTAACAACCCCAGTACTGGCTGTAAGATTTCCGAGCACACTCGCGAGGCTCCTCATAATGGTGGTTCTCCCTTCAGTAGCTGGAGTTCTCATCGGCGACCTCGAGCTGGCATCTCTTCTCCAAGTCGAGAAGGCCGACCTCGCAGCCCAGCGGCCGCATGCCAGGCGGCGGTGAGGGAGGCTGGCACAGGCACTGCAGCAGGCCGATCCTCTCGAGCTGCGCGTAGCGGATCGCTGCACTCGGAGGCGAGCGAGGGGTGGAAGTGAGAAGGGGCCTGCCTTCTCAGAAGGCTCGGACTTTCCCCGGCCTTCTGAGAAGTTTTCTAAGCCTTCTCCGAAGACACAAAGAACCTCTCAGAAGGCCGGATGCCTTTTAGAAGCCCCGCCGCCTTCCGAGAAGGCCTTCTTCTTCTTCTTCTCACCTCCCCCCTCGCTCGCCGCCGATGCCCGTTTTGTGTGCGAAGACGGCGACGCACAGAGGCTGTGAGTGCCTCGGTCACCATGTCGGTGGCGTCCAGGGCACGTCGCGAACGCATCCACACGCCGGTCGACCAGCTCACCCGCCTGGCTGCGGGCCAGGCGCAGTGCGCGTCCATGTGCGACCCGATCGGGGTGAGGTTCGGGACGGTCGGATTGTCGTCATCTGCGCCAGACCTGCCGTCGGGAGCGAAGGTCGGAGGTGACGATAGGGGCGAAATACCCACCAGGGGCGCCGATGATCTATGTCCGCGACAAGGCTCCCAGGCGAATGCGTGTAATGCCCGCCCGTGGGCTATTCGGCCCTATCGTCGCCGCCGAGAAGGGGCCATCGTCAGTGTGGAACCTGTTGAGACCATCGAGACTGTAGAGCCCAGGCTCGCGCCGCTGACCGGGCCAAGGGACGATCTCTCTCTGTGTCAGGGGGCCTCGCGCAGCCTGGCGGAGCGTCGCCAGGCGCAGAGACCGCCCGCAGCAGCTCCAGCAGTGCCCGGGTAACCGAGGTCGCGCGGGGCCTCTGACCTCGCGGGCGGGCCCCCTCCCTCCTCCTGCACTTCCTCTTCCTCGTTCTCTCTCCTCTTCCTCCACCTCTTCCTCCTCCTCCCTCCTCCTCCTCCTCCTCCTCCTCCTCCTCCTCCTCCTCCTCCTCCTCCTCCTCCTCCTCCTCCTCCCTCCTCCCTCCTCCTCCTCCTCCTCCTCCTCCTCCTCTCCCTCCTCCTCCTCCTCTCCTCCCTCCTCCTCCTCTCCCTCCTCCCTCCTCCCTCTCCTCCTCCTCCCCTTCTCCTCTCCTCTCCCTCCTTCGCCCTCCTCCTCCTCCTCCTCCTCCTCCTCCTCCCTCCTCCTCCTCCTCTCCTCCTCCTCTCCCTCCTCCTCCTCCTCCTCCTCTCCTCCCTCCTCCTCCTCCTCCTCCTCCCCCCTCCTCCTCTTTCTCCTCCTCCTCCTCCTCCTCCTCCTCCTCCTCCTCCTCCTCCTCCTACTGCTCCTCCTCCTCTATGCTCTGGGGGCCCCGCGTCCGATGGGCCTGACAGAGCTTGAGCGCATCACTTGCCTGCCTTTAACAGGGCTTCGGTTTGACGGGGCAAACCGCCCTCCTCGATCGCTCTACCAGCTTTGCCATCTGTTGATGATGAAGCTATCATTCGTAGATGCAGTACTTCAACCACACTCCTACTGTTAATACTCCTGTTACTTCCACGACTGCGCCTGCGACTACGACTACACCATGGGCCTACTTGACAATTTAGCCCTAGCGCTCACTTGGCCACACCAGGCGCCTATTTGACTACCTCAACCTGGCGCTCACTTGGCAAACCAACCACATCAAGCGCCCCCTTGACAACTTAGCCCTAGCGCTCACTTGGCAATCCACTCCAGGCGCCTATTTGACAACCTCAAACTGGCGCCCACTTGCCAAACCACACAAGGCGCCTACTCGACAACTTAGCCCGCGCGCTCACTTGGCAAACCACACCAGGCGCACATTTCAAAATTCAGCCCTAGCCTTCACTTGGCAGCGTTCACCAGGCGCCTACTTGAGAACTTCAAACTGACTCTCACTAGGCAGCCCACACCAGGCGCCTACTTGACAACTTCAATTTCGAGCACAAGTGGCATGCCACACCAGGCGCGTCTGACAACTTAGCCCTATCGCTCACTTGGCATCCCACAGCAGGTGCCTACTTGACAACCTCAACGTGGCGCTCACTTGGCAAACCAACCACATCAAGCGCCCCCTTGACAACTTAGCCCTAGCGCTCACATGGCAATCCACTCCAGGCGCCTATTTGACAACCTCAAACTGGCGCTCACTTGCCAAACCACACAAGGCGCCTACTCGACAACTTAGCCCGCGCGCTCACTTGGCAAACCACACCAGGCGCACATTTCAAATTCAGCCCTAGCCTTCACTTGGCAGCGTTCACCAGGCGCCTACTTGAGAACTTCAAACTGACTCTCACTAGGCAGCCCACACCAGGCGCCTACTTGACAACTTCAACTTCGAGCACAAGTGGCATGCCACACCAGGCGCGTCTGACAACTTAGCCCTAGCGCTCACTTGGCATCCCACAGCAGGCGCCCACTTGACAACTTCGATCTCGTGCTCAAGGGGCAACCCACACCAGGCTCCGACTGACAACTCAGCGCTAGCGCTCATGCGGCAGCCCACACCAGGCGGCTACTTGACAACTTCAACCTCGCCCTCGGCGTTGCCGCGCTGCAGAGAGGCAGAGAGGCTCTGCCGCGCGGCCGCCCAGACCTCCTGGCCTCGGGCAGACCAGGGGCGCATCAGGGCTCGCGCTTCACCTGCCAGGCCGGCCCGGCGCTTCCAGCGCGAGGGCGAGCAGCGCGGGCCCCTTGGCAGCGCCGGTGCCTGCGCCCCTCGGCCGTCGCGGGAGCGGCGCCGTCCCGGGTCGCGCGGCTGCGGCCGGCGCCCGCGCTGGCAGCGAGCGCGGCGTCGGTGACCGTGACGTCGACGGAGTGCCGCCCAGCGACGGGGTCGGGCGCGGTCTCGGGCGGGCGCGTCCGGCTCGGTGTCCACACCCCGCGGCGCCCTGTTCGGTCAGGCAGCTGGCCAGCCAGTCGCGCACGCCGTCGTGTTTGAAGATGGCCAGGCCGCCCGCGGGGCAGCCGACCGCCTCCTCTGTTGCCTCTTTTTCCTCCTTCTCCTCCTCCCCATCCTCGTCCTCCTCTTTCTCATCCTCTTTCTCCTCCTCATCGTCTTCCTCCTCTTCCTCCTCTTCTTTCTCTTCCTCCCCCTGGGCGTTGGGCGCTAACGGCATGAGAATCCTCCAGGGATGCTGCCACTCCTCCTCCTCCTCGTGCTCCTCCTCCT